AATATTTAATGATAGTTCAACCAGATCAATGTTTAATACCAGATTTAAAACCAAATGTTTAAAATCTATATTTTTTTTTCTTTTTTCTGAGAGAGAGAGATTAATTCCGACATACTTTTTATTAAAATTTTCAATGTTTCCAAGGAAAGTATTAATATTAGTATTAACTAAATATCACTTGAAAATTATATATTTTTATTTATTTTCTGTGTATGATTATAATTAAAAGTATTTTATATTAAATTATATTTTATGAACCGATACCGATAAATTTGTTCGAATTATTGAAATTGTGCAAAACTATTATAGAAAATGATTTATATATCTATATCTCACACGCATGCTCGGTCATATAAAAACATAATATTTCAGAAAGACTTCTGATGCTACTAGAAAATTACAAATTATGATACATTAAATTCATTGGCACCTTTTTAGTTTACATTCAATTCATTGGTGACTTCTTAATTCACTTTGCAACGCTACGTAGAGAAATAAATTTGCTTTTGGAGTTTATGAATCAAAAGATAATTTATAAATAATTTTTCCTTAACATCAATTTTCTGCAATTACAATAATTTTCTGTACTCTTTTTTTCAAGCAAATTTATGTATAAAAAAGTTCAAATATATTAAATTAATTTTAAATTACGTTATAATAAGGGATGGTGAGTTTCTCTAACCGTGGATGAACCGCAGAAAAAAGCATGGAACGAATCGTCCTGCTCGTTTCTTCCAACCCAAATGAATGAAATGGGAGAAACTATTTCTTTAAAAAGACTGTCAAATAGCAAAATCTTTTTTTTTCTCCAGTTTTTAGAGCAATTACAATCTATTTCGATTATTAGTAACATTATTTCGTCATATTATCCGCTGGTCAAGGTAATTTTGTCAAATATTCATTTCATTGCGATTGTATTAACAAAGTGAACTTGCATGGAATTGGGTATACTATAGCCTACGTCACAGATCGTGTTATTCCTACTAAATTTAACTAGTAAACAGCATTTTCTGCGAACCTGATTTCTAGCAACAAGTAAAAGCATCAAACGAAGTGTCTTGTTATAAGTCGCTACTCGCCAGGTTGGAATTGTATTACTCTAGTTCCTTTGGAAATAATTTATATTGTTGTTTTACCGAAGTTTATGAATTTAGTAAGCATATTTAAAACTCAGTTTATTAATTAAACTAAAAGGTAAATGTTATTCCTAGTAAGTGGAAGTAGTTGTGCTTTTTCATATTATACCCAATTAAATTATTATATATTTATTTCCATATTGATTTCTACTTTTTTGAAAAATGTCACCTTAAAAAAAATGAAGGATGAATGAAAAGAAATCAGGGAATCGGTGAACGTAACGAGCAGGGAGTGGAGTCTTTTTATTACATAAAAATGTGACCATAAATCAAAAGTTCTTTTTTTTTCCTTCATCATAATAAAATAAATACAGGATGTTTTATATTATTATTGCATGAGGTAACCATATAAAATAAATAGCGATTAATACAAGTGGCTAACATTACAACAAAATAAAATACGAAATAAGACAATCGAAATTCAACTTAAAATATAAAGCTTTATTTTACTATTATATTATGCTAAGATTATTTTTAAAAAAAATTGCTGTGGACTATGACCAATTTAAAAGCAAAATAATTAAATAACGGAACTAATACATAAAAGAGGCTTTTATAGCAAAGAAAGAGGGGAAAAAAACAAACTAAAATTGCAAAAGGAAAAACACCAAAAATATCGATCGATACTAAAACAGGGAATCACGAGGTATAAAATGTTTTCTGGTATCGATTCGATCCAATTTAATCGAGTTTTAAATTTAATCAACTTTAATGCATTAATGTCCCAAGATAAAATATTTTACGTACGCAATTTATTTTAAAGCGAGTGCTATTAAGGAAATATTATAGCTTTCGTAATCTGGGAAAAAGGGTGCTTTGAGTCAAGTTTTTGGTCATTTAAAATTTTCGTGCATTATGCATAAGAAATGAGTGAATAAATAAGAGATCAGTTTTTTTCATATAGGGAATAAACTGGAGTTTCGGTTGATCATTTGGGAAAATGCAAGTTTTGGCAAAAATATGTCAGAAAGTTGTAAGTCGAATTTTGTTGCGACTTTCTTTATTTTATGTTTTTAACTGCAATCTCATAATGAGTGGTTTTGTTTTTATTTTAACGATATATTTTTCACTAAATAAACTCGAAAGTTTAACAAAAAGCGAAGCGAAAATGTTTTGTCAAATTTATGAAACCGCAGCAATATCAAATAAAAACACTGACACCACAAATGAAAATCATCTCTCTACCTGACTTGGAATTATTATCTTAGAAAATTAAGTCCAATATCATGATCTGCTCTTAAGATGGAAAAAAAAATTAAGGTGCATTTTTACAAAGTGTGAAAAGTTTTTTAAAGAGATTAATTGATAGTTAATATTATCTAATCTTTCGAAATCAAGCCTAAATATAGTTACCTATTCCTTAGTCTTAGACAAACAATAAAGATGTTGATTTTAAGACAATACAGTGTATATATTTTAGACACACTTTATTGTATATACATTATATTTTTAACAATATATATTTTACACCAAACTGATCCTAAATGTTTCTTCCAGATAATTACTTCACAAGTTAGCCAAGTTTCCCCTAGGTAACAGTGTAATAATCAGAAACATCCTGTTATCTTCATGAAAATTGTGGTGTTTTTTTCTTTCCAAAAACGTCCTCGAACAATTTCAAAATGTGGTTAATTATTGTATTGCCCCAAGCCCTACGTATGAAAACCCTTTTTTTTTATTCTTTAGAAACTAATTTGAATAAAATCTATAAGCTTGTTTTGCTTTCAAGGTACTTTTAGCGATAACTTAAAGCTTTTTTTAACTTAAAATGATTCTAATAACTACCTTTTGCGGTTTTCCCGCTAATTTGCTGCTAAACATATTTTAGGCAGATTGATAATAAGATTAATGGAAGATTTGTGATAAGCAAAAAGTTTTTTTTTCCTTGGCGATTTTTGTCGTTTTACAGTACAAAATCGTTTTTATAAAATATATCCCTGAATTTTAAATTTAAATGATAGATGTAAAGATATTTTAGACGAATGTACAACTAAAAAAACATATTGAATTATGGTTTTAACTTTGGTAAAAATACACCTTAGAGCATTTTCGTAAACAGAAACTTTGATGGAAATCCTAAAGCAACGTTTAATATTATTCTCAAGCATAATTCTTTCTAATAGATATTAAATTGTTTCATCTCATTCATTATATCACATTTCTATCACATTCATTCATTATATCACATTTCTATCACATTCATTCACTATATCACATTTCTATCACATTCATTCATTATATCACATTTCTGATAAATTATTTCTTGTCGAAAAAAGAAGAGTAAAAATTTCCATCTGAAATTTTCTATTTGAAGCTTTATAGCAATTATGTTGCTTTTTATGGTTTACAAGACAATTTTAGTGAATTCAATAAGCAATCATTTATATATAATTTTTAATAATTGACAAAAAGTAATATAAAATCTATGTGTCATTTGCATAATTGTGTGATTTAAATAAATATTTGCAATATAATAGAATTTTATAAATCTACGAGTAAGTTCGCAGTTTCGCATTATGTTGTATTGGTTTAAACTCTTTTATAAAGTGTTTGCCCTGTAATATTGTCTAAACATTAAAATGTTGCTCAATCCTCTTGAATTCGCGATTATTCTTTTAATCGGTAGCACATAACATAAGTTGAACAATCGTAAGATTAAAAATAGTTGTTATTTAAGAAAGAATATGTATTTAACATATTCTTTCTTACTCATATCATATTTCAAACCATCAAAACCATATTTGATTAAAGCAAACAAAATGAATCTGTAATTGTATTTCTATTCTTTTTTTCTTGTATAATTTTATTATAATTTAATAAAGAAAATAAATTCATTTATTTCACATTGCCCTGGTAAACAAAATTGTTTTATTACTAATATCATATGCATAAAAAGAATTTATAAAGCAAATAAATTAATAATATATATAAATTAATAATTATAAATAATTATCATATTAATCATATTATTATATGATTTATAATAAGATAAATCATATAATATTATTATAGCAATATGGAGAAAAATAATAATATACTACCTTGTAAAAGAATTTAAATAAGGTTCTATTTTAATTATTTTAGTAGTTTTTATATAAGTTGAAAAAAGGAAGAAATATTTTATATAGAATTTAAAAAATATATTATAAATAACAGCATTTTTTAAGACATTTAATAATGAAATACCCCAATAAAAAATTTTCAAAAGCACTTTGCGGAGTTGAATGTAACTTATTTCAAAAATAATTTATAATATGACTCGGAAAAACTTTAAATTTTTAAAAGGAAAATTAATCATTAAAATAATTTAAATTAAATTTATATTTAAATTTACATATAATACAATAATCTAACTTTACATAATACTAAATACATATAATTTAAATTTTGTTAATAATTATAAATGGAATAATCAGTTAATCATTAATAATTAATCAGTTAATCATTAATAATTAATCAGTTAATCATTAATAATCATTAATAATATCATCAGTCAATAATTAAAATGAAATGAAATATAAAAATGAACCAAGTCAATTTCTTGTCTATGTAAGAAGATAAAATAGATGTCCTTACTTTCTGAAAAATTTTAAAAATGCCATTTCTTTAAAAAGAACAATTATTTTAGATTTTAAGAACGTAACTGAATAATAAAAAGCTTAATGACCATAATTTTCATAAAATCTAGATAGATTTTTTGTTTTTTTAATAGACACTGAACTTTTTTAAATATAGTTAAGAATTTGATGATTTCACTAAGAGTTTAAAAAAAAAAAAAAACCCGTCATAAAAAATTTTCGAAAGAAAAATAAAATCGAATTTATATGTACGAGAATTGAAAAATTGTAATATCTATCATCCTACCTGAACCATTGTTTATCCTTTTTGTTGTTAAACCGAAACCTACCACCTCCACACGACAATACAATCCCCATCGGCCCATCTGATCACACACAACTTCTACAATACAACCTGCCAACTGAAGTTCGAAGGTGAACATGATGAATTCTTCACTTCATTCATACTTGATAAGATAGTTACCTTCATCGTCGGCAGATGGCGCAATCAAACCAGATTAGAAAATTGTTTTGGTTTCGAAAGGCGGCTTGTTTGTTGTTTAGTTTTGTTTTCATACCAGAGGGGGGAGATGGGTTGCGTTAGGAAAATGGATTGTTTTGTGTTTTAATTTTCAAAAGCTGCATGGAAAAACATTTTATAAAAAAAGAAATATTATTTCTACCTTTTTTTTTTAAAAAAACATTCTTATTCTTTTGAAAAAAATTTCTCATTTTATGTTATATTTTAAATTTAATTATATTTTAAATCAGACGATTAGCAAAAAACTAGTTCAGCTTACTTCAATAACATAAAGCCACCGAAAAGTGCGGCAAATAATATTAAATAAAACATAATTAAATTATTTTAGCTATATTAATTGGAAAACTTAATAAAAGAAACAGTTAAATGATATTTTCAGAACGAAAAAAAAAGTTGCATTCGAACAATTTTATTAACAATTTATTTAAAGGATAAACTAATAATATTTTGCTTTATTTTATTTACAACTGCCTAATTTGAAATAAAAATCATACAAGCGTACTTAAAACTGATCATATTATTTATGCTAAGATTAAAGTGTAGGCAAAAACAATCTTTTACATTAAACATACCCATTTTGATGTGCTTATATAAATTACGATATAAGGTACCGGCACTTTATTATGCACCATCTATGAAATCCATTTACCGTAAAATAATACACCGTAATTTTTACAGAAATATTTATTTAAATAGAGTGATTCAGTGATTTTACGGTAATTGTTATTGTAGGAATATCAGATTTTTTGTCCCGTAACATTTCCAGTAAAAATGGATTTTAAGGCGTAAAGTACCGGCACCCTGAGTTATTAATTTATTTTTGAAAAACGAAAAGTAAATATAGCTGCTAGCAGAACTTCTTTTGTTTCGATGATATTAAACTACTTTTATAAAATTATGCGAATGACGTTGAAACCCTAATTTTTAAAATAAGTTGATGCGTACAATGCAAAAATTCCGGATCAATTTACGGAATTATGGTAAAAAATATTGGTACTCTCTATTTTTGCGTAACAAAAAATTTAACCTACCATAATTTTTACAATAATAATTACAATAAAATCACTGAATCACTTTAAATAAATAAATATTACTGTCCAAATTACGATATAATAGTTTACGGTAAAAATGGAATTTTAAGGATGAGTGCCGATACTGTAATTTGATCCGGACTTTTTTACAGTGTATTCTGTACTTCTATATTTTAGATTATCCTTTACCCCCTAAATTTATGAAAAATAATAATTGCATAAAAAATTTTACTTATTTTTCACTAGGTTAATAATCATAATCCTACTCATATTCTTTTTTACATCGCGAAACTTTTCACAATAGATAAGAGAATTTCATCAGATATTGCATCATACGGTTGCTTAGGTTTTGCATCAGCTATCGATTGTAATCTTCTAAAATGCTTTAATGAAATCCTCTATTTATACTCAGTTATGTTTTTGCTTATGAACGACTATTTGGATACTGTTATTCTATTTATACTTTAATAGCACTTTTTGCTGAGAGTTTGAGAAGCCAAAATAAATTTTACAAGTATTGTTTTCTACAACTGAAGTAAGTGTTTCTTGCCTTGTACTAAAATACTAACGTATTTTATTTAAATGTTTTTTTTTATTAAATGCATATTTTTTAATTTGTTATGAGAATTTCTTGAAGAGTTGTATGAAAATATGTATTGACTTGTATTCCCATCCTTAGAATAGTTCGCGATGATGTTTATTTCAAAGTTACACGTTTTTAACAATGAAACTTTAATAAATTAATTGGTTTTATGTAGAAATTTATTGATAAAATTACGTTTATTTCCGAACTAAGGGTTTTTTAACGATGAAACTTTAATATATTGATTGGTTTTATTTAAAAACTTATTGATAATTTTCGAGTGCGCATACTACTATTAATATATTTTTACACTTTTCATATAATGGATTCTTTTAGATTTTGATCTATTGATTTTTTTTCACATAAAATTATTTATTTACACCCCATGCATTAACTTCAATTTAAATTTCTGATTCTCTTATTCCTTTATTTTCTTTTTAGTAAATATATATTTCAGGTAATTTTAAAAAAACTGTAACCGTTAAAATAAATTTTAAAGGTTTCCTTGATAATTTATATCAGTTAGAATGCGTTGTTTAAAACAATAGTTATATATATATATA